AACTTGACTCTACATTACATAAAGATGATTCCACATGAGTTTCATCTCTCCTGGCCCAGTGGTTTTTGAGAAGAAGATTTTTAAAGATCTTCCCTATATACACTTATGTAAAACTTTGATCAGCCATTGTGACAGCATTCCTACATGTATCCCAAGGGATCATGGTTTGAATGAACTTAAGTCTACTCTACCTGAGGATGCTCCCTCATGAGTTTCATGTTTCTTGGCCCAGTGGATCTTGAGAAGACTTTTTAAAAATGCCATTTATTTTTCACTTATTCATAATTATCTCCCCTTGATAGAGGTTGTGTCCCTTCATTTGAACAAACTTGAATTCCCTTTACCTAAGGATACTTTGTGGGAAGTTTGGTTAAAATTGGCCCATTGATTCTTTAGAAGCAAATGAAAATGTGAAAAGTTTACGACGACAATGACGGCGACGACGACAACGACGACAACAGATAACGAACAAATTTTGATCAGAAAAGCTCGCTCACTTGAGCCTTCGGCTCAGGTGAGCTTCAAAGGAAACTGTCAAATCATAAATATTTTACATTTGTACATATATTATAGGATTTTTAGCCGGGTTTTGCTGAAAGCAAATTCCATGCTATAGGCATCATGATCGACTGTCTTATTATGAATAGCACAGTAAACAAAAAAACCAAACAGCGTCAAAGCAGACCCTTCCGATAAACAAAATAGTTCCATTGCGAGATGATATTTAAACAATATATTAATATTGCATTTAGTTGAATGTAACATTGAAAATTTTAACCCAAGAATACCATTGTCAACAGAGGCAAAGTCGAGGGTGACAATGGTGTTCGAGGAGTTGAAAACTTTTCAATGTTAAACTCCCACAAGAGTTTCATGTTTCTTTGCCCACTGGTTCTTGAGAAGATTTTTTTTAAAAATGCCATTTATTTTTTCACTTATTCATAATTGTCTTCCCTTGATAGAGGGTGTGGCCCTTCATTTGAACAAACTTGAATCCCCTTTACCTAAGGATACTTTGTGGGAAGTTTCGGTTAAATTGGTCCAGTGATTCTTTAGAAGCAAATGAAAATGTGAAAAGTTTACGACGACAATGACGGCGACGACGACAACGACGACAACAGACAACGGACAAATTTTGATCAGAAAAGCTCACTTGAGCTTTCGGCTCAGGTGAGCTTAAAAGGAAACTGTCAAATCATAAATATTTTACATTAGTATATATATTATAGGATTTTAGCCGGGTTTTGCTGAAAGCAAATTCCATGGTATAGGCATCATGATCGACTGTCTTACTATAAATAGCACAGTAAACAAAAAAAAAAACAAACAAACAGCGTCAAAGCAGACCCTTCCGATAAACAAAATAGTTCCATTGCGAGTCGCTATTTTTTTTCATTTTGGAATAGTTTAATTTCACTTTTATCAAGCAATTTTATTGGCTGAATCATTCGGAGGAACATATATTATTTTGGATAACATGATTTGCCTACGTCACAATGAGTTACGTCAAAAATGTATTACTCCGCTTGACGTTACTTTTAAAATAATGCTCAATTTGAAGTCTTTTTCCGGAGGAAATATTGTCTCATTGTCTACACTGGAATTAAATTATAAGGAATGAAGCTAATTTCAACTTATGTTATCCGATATAAAAAAACTTGGGGCAGTTTACGCTTTTTATAAACCGCTTCGCGTATGAGACAATGTCTGTAAGAAGGTCATGCATGATTTTTTACTTATTTTCTTCTCAACTTAATGTTTGCTGTATTTTATTACTAAATATTTACATCCACTGAATATTTTCTTCTTTATTTCTTAAGAAAACCCATTGCGTTCATCACTGCATGAATAACATTAGGCATATGACCTATACAGATTTCTTAATCAGTGGCCGTTCCATCAATGAAACGTACAAAGACGTTCGCATCATTAACACAATAATTAATATTATTAATCCTACTAAAAATGATAATTTAAACAGATATAAATATAAACAATAAAATGTCTTTCTTTGTTTGTTATTACTGGAATGAACGGTCGCAGCTATTGCGAAAAAAAATTTACATAACTCAAACTCAAAGAAGTACGATTCTCTATATATTATGCTTTTCTTTATGTAATTATACCTTTTTGCTTAATATATATATATATATATATATATATATATATATATATATATATATATATATATATATATATATATATATATATATAATTTCATCACAACATGTATTGGTTAACAATCCTCTAAAAACTAATGTCCAAATAACTGTATCTCACTTCCATTCTGAATGACCGTGTAGTGTAGGGCAGCGTTGTGAGAATTCCATCGGCATGGAAAGCAAGTTTTTTTTTTAACTTGCCTAGATAGCCGAGCGGTCTAACGCGCTGTTCCTGTACTGCTAGGAGACAGATTCCGTAGGTCGAGAGTTCAACCTCGGGCTGGGGCGGAAGTGAGTATCCTTGTAAAAAAGTGGATTTCTCTGTGCTTTCTATATTAATATTCCTTCACTTAGGGCAGTTATACTAGTTTCAGAGTTGTTGTAATTTGTGCTTCATAAATAAAATTAATTTCATCACAACATGTATTGGTTAATAATCCTCTAAAAACTAATGTCCAAATAACTGTATCTCACTTCCATTCTAAATAACCGTGTAGTGTAGGGCAGCGTTGTGAGAATTCCATCGGCATGGAAAGCAAGTTATTTAACTTGCCTAGATAGCCGAGCGGTCTAACGCGCTGTTCCTGTACTGCTAGGAGACAGATTCCGTAGGTCGAGAGTTCAACCCCGGGCTGGGGCGGAAGTGAGTATCCTTGTAAAAAAGTGGATTTCTCTGTGCTTTCTATATTAATATTCCTTCACTTAGGGCAGTTATATTAGTTTCAGAGTTGTTGTAATTTGTGCTTCATAAATAAAATTAATTTCATCACAACATGTATTGGTTAATAATCCTCTAAAAACTAATGTCCAAATAACTGTATCTCACTTCCATTCTGAATGACCGTGTAGTGTAGGGCAGCGTTGTGAGAATTCCATCGGCATGGAAAGCAAGTTTTTTTAACTTGCCTAGATAGCCGAGCGGTCTAACGCGCTGTTCCTGTACTGCTAGGAGACAGATTCCGTAGGTCGAGAGTTCAACCCCGGGCTGGGGCGGAAGTGAGTATCCTTGTAAAAAAAGTGGATTTCTCTGTGCTTTCTATATTAATATTCCTTCACTTAGGGCAGTTATATTAGCTTAAGAGTTGTTGTAATTTGTGCTTCATAAATATATATATATATATATATATATATATATATATGTGTGTGTGTGTATATATATATATATATATATATATATATATATATATGTGTGTGTATTTTCTTTTTTTTATTGGGAAGGGGGGGTTATTTATTTATTTACTTGTGCGAGCTTTGATTTCTTTCTTTCTTTTTTTTTTTTTTTTTTGTTTCTTTCGTTTTAAAAGAAATTCAAAATCTTTAAAGACTTGTGCAAAATTTTTCAACATTGATCAATATTATCTACACATACTAAAGAAAAATACTCACACTGACGTTGCAGTGATATCGAGAATAAATAGAACCGTAACTCTATGGTCTTAAGGAATTAAACATTTTCCGGGGGGGGGGGGGGGGTAGAAAAACTTGATATCAACTTCTGTACCAAATTTCAGAATTTTTGTTAATGCCAGAAAATTAAAATTGAATCCAAATGAATTGGAGATATTTATAGGACACTAACACGCGCACAGAAATAGAACGCCTTGATAACAACAAGATACCTTGATTAGTTTTAGCTTACTACGAATCGTTTTCTAAAATGATCTGCTTCTTTTTATTCATTTTAGTCCAACTGGTTAAATAAAAGAGGGTGTATTTTTTAATACGTGTATTTTCTGTAAATAAATATCTATAAAGTTATCTTAGTCTAACCCTGCCAATTCCCCCATCCCACCCCACCACAATATATTCTGGTGATAGATATTCACTGTCTACCTAAATACACTTAAGAAATTTATGAAACTTTTTTACTATGATTTTTTTTTGTATTACAGAATATTTTGAACATCAAGATTTTGTCAAAAGAAAGCGTGTTATAAAGTTCTGCGACCAAGAGATCATACTAATGCTGAGGAGCTACCAGATACACTCGTGTGCCTGGATTCAAATTCGTGAATCTCTGCATGAAAATATCCATTAACTCTCATTTGAAACACAAAATATGTACAAATCATCATCAGTGAAACAAATTAATGACAGAATGTCTGCACAATTTTCAAAACTGCTTTCTATGTCAGAAGGCGACATTGAAAATAGTGTAATCAGTTAAGACACTTGCATATACCAGTACCTAATGGAAAATTTTAAAAAATCCAAATTACAAGTATGTCATCTCCGTGTTTTCCTTTCGAGTTTTGCTATGTGTAAGACGTTCCAGATGTTTAAAAATAACCTTGAAATAAGTTTTTCTTACATTTTTTTCTTTTCAAATGCATAGCTGGGTTCGGCCGTTTCAACATTGTTTGATTGTGACGTCACAATGTCGCTTCACGTCCACTGCCCTTCCGGTGAATTCCGCCTCAATTTCGATGAATATGTATATTTATCTCATACATGTAGGTGATACAGGCCCTTCGATTAACTTATGCTTTATCCACGGGTAGATGCTTTATCAATAGCACTTCCGGTTTTGACGCGATACTGTATCCCTCGCTTCAAAATTTATTTCAATTGTAACTTTTATTTTTGAAAATTATAGCCTTAAAAAATGAATGATGAAGAGAAATAATATCGTTTAAACAAGAAAAAAGACTCGTATATGTCAAAGAAAAGTCTTATTTTATCAAGGAACCTGTATTGGCTACTTGAAGACAGACCCCCCTCCCTCTTTAAATTGCTTTCGGAGAAAATAAAGACTAGCAGTTAGGTTATTGTTTTAATAATGCTTCTTTTTAATTATCATATTACGTATGCCTAACTAGTAATATAGGTGTAACTTACCATGGATCAACAACGAATCTACAAGAAGGCCTCTAGCCTTGCCTAACACGTTTTGTACTGCCATTGTACAAAGAGTTCATTTTCACAATCCCATGGTCCTTACAACTTTCAGTCAGAGGTTCGGTCGATGAAAAGCTCCAGCAATTAACACATAATGTTTTCAAAGACGCAAACAATTTAAATTTTGAACATGATCTGCATTCTTTCGAGGCATGTCAACATCAAAAGGTGCTAGATCATAAAGTTATTCGTCAACTAGAAATGATTTATGTAGTTTCACAGGGGTCGTCTCAAAGTTTTATTAAAACGAAAGTCGTTAGAGATAAATAAGTCATTGATAATTGTGTGATTTGATATTGGCTTTATCCAATGCAATTCTTTAAAATAGTGTAATTTCGCTCTGCTTACTATTTCAACTCGTTGGATGAAGCCAATATCAAACCTCACAATATAGATATTCTCTATTTATGAACTGTTTGCACTTTTATAGATTATAAAGGGACTATAAATAAAGTGTATAATACTTCACGACATGTTGTTGAAAAGAATGAGATAAAACTTGTAGATAAAATTGCTGACGCATTAAGGTAAGATTAAAAGGACAAACTTTATTTAATTCCATGGAAGTTAGCACAGCCATTCATACAATGGAAGAATCGAAAGAAAAGGTGCGAATATAGCTTACTAGTGGTATTTGGCGCAAAAAGAACGATTCCTTCATTTTGTAGAATCTAAATGGACTGATACAGTAGTATAGAAATGCAAAAAGAAGGATACACAGACAAATTGAAACGGTGAATCATATTGAAAAATATGTTCCATTCAAAATAATAAAGGAAGTGAACACTGCAGTTTTTTGCATCAGTAATATCTTTCTTTTTTCTGTTTCATATAAAATACAGGGAATGCATTTCGTTGTAAATCAGCTTGCACAAAATATAACTCTCTAGGCATGATCACATAGTTTCGGATCATGTAAATATTAATCCTTTTTACAGCCTGACATCGTGATGTCAGAGAATAAATGATACATTAAATAATCATGATAATGTTTGATTTCAAATTCTTTGTAATATGGAGCAAAAACGACAAAAAGAAAAAATGAGATCTGTTATATTGATTCATAGTCCAAGTTAATTTGTTTAATATGTTGCTTCGTTGAAAAAAATCATATTGAGAAGTATTCCTCATTGTAAACGACAAAAACGTTGAAGTCAGTGGCGGATTTAAGGGGGGGCGCACCCGGCGCGCCCCCCCCCCCTAAAATTGTCAAAGTTAGCGTAAATCAAATATGTCTACTTGGTAGACCTCATTTTCACCCTTCAAAATCTCTAGAATCCAGGAGCTTCCGGGGCCTTCGCCCCCTGGGCCCCCACCAGGGCTTTGCCCTGGACCCACTGGGGGCCTCCTCAGACCCCTTGCCTAATTTTGGCGCCTCCCCTAACTCCAAATCCTGGATCCGCGCCTGGAAGTGTTAGAACGTCACAGAACATTTTTTATTATACTCGGGAAAAATCCTACATAAAATAAAAATAATACAGGAATAAAAAAGCATGTCTCCTGTAGTTCGTGCATGTGTGTGTAATGGTACAGGAGATATTTGAGTGACAGGGACTCTGTACGTGATGAATACAATCGGTGAAGAAACGGTTAACCTGAAACATGTAAATCTTACAAAAGTAATTGAAAGACATATGCGCTTCAGAGTTGCTGATCCTCTGAAAGCACAGCTGAGTGGTCAAAGATATTAAAATGTTAACAAAAGGAAATTACATAACGAGAATAACTGTTACAAAAAAAAATTATTGTTCAGTGATAGAAAAAGGTTTTTAATGAGTAGTTATGGGACTTATATTTTGTTTAACGCGTACAGGTAGTATTTTTTAGGAATGTTATGTTTTTGTTGTTGTATTGAAGTTTAGTATCCTCTGTGCTTACAAACATGTTGATCTTAAAGGGAAGTAAATTTGTTTCGATTTAATCTAATGAAACAAGACTTCACAAATTAAGAGATATATATTTTTACACTTGATACAGAGCTTATTTTAAATTTCTTGAAAGTCGTAAAAGAAAGATTGAGTTCGCTCACTAACTTTTTAATTCGAACATCTTGCGTATTAAATTAAAAAAAACCGTAAACTTATGAAAATATTTTTTTTTTCTAAAATGGAATAATGATATACACTTTGTTGCAAGATACACTTTAAACTTAACTTATATTAATAATGAAAAAAAACCTTTCTTACTCAATGTTCTACTATTCAGTGAACATTCAAAGTTTTTATACCGGTCGCGGTAGCCTAGTGGTAGAGAGTTCGCTTCGTGATCGGGAGGAACGGGTTCGATTCTCGTTCGCGGCGCCGAGTCATATCTAAGACATAAACAAAGGCAGTGACTGTTCCTTCGCCAAGCGCTCGACCCTCGCTCACTACTCAATGGCCCTGAGTGCCGAGCATAGGTCTAAATTTGAAGCCCTTCACTGGTATAAGGCGACGTCTCCATATGTCTCAAGAGGGACGTTAAACAATATACAATCAATCAATCAATCAATTAAAGATTTTATAGGGAATATGGATGTTGTGCCGGTGTAACTTTGAATATTGACCCGAGCTGAAAATTGAACCGGGTGTGTTTTTTCTCCGTTGAAAACTGAGACCAAAAGTCGTTCAATTTATACCTGGGGTCATTTTTCAACGGCTTTATATTTTTTTTTTTCCTTGATGACCTCAACGAGTTGAAAATTTACCCTGTTGAATATTGACCCCATCTCATATTTTGAACATTATTTGAACTGGGAGGTTGTTTTACGGGAATTATCAGTATTTTTCACTGCATGAAAATTCGGCTTACAAAACAAGTAAAGATAATGTAAATTTATTATGTACACTACCTTTAATTGACTTTTCTGAAAAAAAGTCAATGATGTAATATCCCACATTGTCTTGACTTTATAAAAAAGTAAAGTTAATATTTACAACCATTAAACACTGTGTTTAGGATATATTAAATCTGATAATTACAGATCTTAAATTTAATCAAATACCATCTTCAATTACCTGAAAAGTTAACCATTTCTGTTTTCCGTTCTAGTCAATGAAGCCTTATGCAAATTATAAATAAGTTTTTTCTTCCAAGTCAATACTGCGGATATCTGGACATCATAACTAATGTATAAAAAGTAACAAAAAGTTGACTTTAACTTTGTTTTTTTACAATTCAAAACATTTTTTACAAACATAAGATCAAAAACATCAAGATTCCTGACAGTATACGATGCCCACATCCTATCCTGCAAATCACATACACATATAAGTATCCAAGAAAGAGTACATTTAACGAAAATGTTTTTCGAACTTGACTTGTTTTATAATAAAACCATCTGTACATTCTTGAATTTTAAGTTGTGAATCAACATAAAACTACTATGTTCCTCTCTCTTGTTGATATTGGTTTCAATGGAAATCAATAACTGTCAAAATGTTTTTGTGACATCTCCCTTTTCAGAGTCCAAAACTTTTCTTCCCATGCAGGCATTCTTCTAATGCTTTTCCTAAAAGAAAAAAAAAATCTATAAGTATATCTTTAGTTCTATGCTTAAGTATGAATATTTTCAAATTCATCTGTTATCAGAATTTACAATGCATGTACAATGATTAATAAGAATAAAAACAATACACAATCTAATTAATAAATAAAAATTTCATTCATGACTTTAACCTCATAAAGAAAAATTGTATTAATTTAATAAGACAAGTGGACCTTTTGTTATTGACATATAATATGAAGAATCAATGGGTTAGTTCATGTATCCCTTATAACAAAAAGCCTAATCCCTAAAATTACAGTTTGAGAATAATGTTTTTTTAAGGGTAATTAACAAAAATAAAGAACAAATCCCTGAAATATAAAGAAATCATAGGTTTTCCTGACTACTCGGTAGTCAGTTTACAAAAAGAACACTATAGTGCTACATATTTAGCTTAGCTGTATATGTATACAGAATCATACTTAATTTATGGTTTAGGATATGTGTACCTTTTCCCCTAATAGCATGTTTCTGCTTATGAACTTTTCCCTGATATGGAACAGTAAATGGACTTTAGGTGAGAATCCCTCAAATTGAAGATGACAATCTTGCTGAAATAGAATTCATACCATGATTAACATTTTATACATCTGGACAAATATATAGTCAATATTTTTGTTAAAAATTATGAGTTTGAAGCACACGGTCACCAAAGAATAAATTGATTTTGAAAATTAATACACAATGCAATCACAGTTAATAGTTATGAACTGAAAAACACTGTGCCGTTACACGGCATATATGTATATATGTTCGTAGACTGTTTTGTGTTATTCCGTTTTTGTCCGTGTGAAATGTTTTAGTCTACCGTTTATATCCGAATACTACCTGTGTTACTATTCAGTGTTTCTCGTGCATTCAAGATCGCAACTGGCGCCTCGGCCGCACCACTGTTTTTCTATCATGTTTGAGACTTTAGAGCCACAATAGAGTGAGTTAACAATGCTAAATCAATTTAATGTACATTCTTTTTATATAAATTCAGTTAGGAAATATTTCTTTATGTAAATTTAACTTTAAACTTGCAAAACTCAGTGTCAATGTCAGTGATGTGTATTCAGTCTTGTTTTGTTCTTTTTGTTTGTAGCCTTTATCGTAAGATCATCTATATGTCAACTGAATAAAATCTTAAACGATGATTGAGGCGTGATAATAAAGGTCTATTACCTACACCATCATGGCTAAGAAGAACGTGGTAGCGGATGACCCTCACACCACCGAGGACGGCGTCAAAGAAGAAACAGACCCTGAGCCGACGGAGGAAAGAAACACCACACCATCAGAAACAAGTGAGAAACGAGTAAGAACATTGACAGTAAAAGCTAAAGAACTGTACGATGCTGAAGTTAAGAAATACAACTCAAAAATCGATTTAATTTGGACTGATATAGAGAACATTCCCAGTGAAATAGAAAACATTAGTCATAATACACCAGCATTGCGTGTTCTGGGTTCCAGACTTGACTATCTTGGAGATAGATATGAGGAAGAGTGTGTGTCATTTCGTGAATATCTTACCCGAAGAAATACAACAGAAAGCCAGCAGGAGTTGGACTCCCTCACGGCTGCCTTTGACAAAGGAAAAAGTATTATTCAGGAATTAAGGAAAAGAATCAGGGATACTCGTATGGAAGCAACAGAAACTGCCTCACGGAGGTCCGCTTCAGTAAGGACGTCGTCATCCCGTGTTGATTCAATCCTGTTCAAGAAACGTGTGGAAGCAGAAACACAACGTGCTAACATTCTATTCCGAGAGAAGGAACTTGCGATCCTCAAAGAAAAAGCATCACTTAAGGAACATGAAGCAAAACAACAAGCTGAAAGTGAACGAAAGAAAGCAGAGCTTGAAGCTACTCATCACTTGTTAGAAGAAAAAAGAAAAGCAGCACTCGTAGAAGCAGAAGTGAAAGCAATAGAGAACTTTGAGTCGGACACTAGACAAGGGTCTGTTATACCATCAGATATCGATGTACCAATAAATCGCAAACAGTATACTGCTCGTTACATCAGTGATCACAGTGATAATAGTGTCTTCGGTAAACAAACTTCAAAGTGTGATAATGGTCCCATAGATCCTGTGATTGATCAAGACATACCACATCAGAAAGAGACTCAGTCTAACCTTAACCCTATGGCAAAAGAATTCGTTAGTCAACGTGTGAAAAATTCTGAAGATCAGAATGTTGTCAGTGATCTTACAAGATTTCTACTCAAGAAGGATCTGTTATTCTCAAGATTTTCGCAGTTCAGTGATAAACCAGAAACATTTGTCACATGGAAAGCTAGTTTCAAGAGTATAACAGAGGAATTGAGAGTTACACCATTTGAAGAAATGGACTTACTAGTGAAATTCTTAGGACCAGAACCCTCAAAGTTTGCAGCCAATATCAGAGCAGCGAATACAGCATACCCAGAACGAGGCCTTCATAGGATATGGAAAAGACTCCAAGAGCGTTATGGAAGCCCAGAATTAGTAGAACATTCTTTAAAGAACAAACTCAGAGACTTTCCCAGAATTAGTAATAAAGACAATAAACGTTTGTATGAATTAGTCGACATTCTAGCAGAAATCGAGTCTTTAAAAGAAGATTCAAACTACTCGACATTATTGTCCTACTTTGACTCATCTTCTGGCATTATACCTATTGTGAATAAACTGCCTTATAACTTACAAGAGAAATGGACAACCCGTGCCGCAAGCTACAAAGCCATACTGGATGTTCCATATCCACCATTTGATTATTTCGTGGAATTCTTACAAGAAATGAGTAAGATTAGAAATGATCCAGGATTTCAATATGAAGGATCTTTTAGTACCCCTGGACCAATTCAGAACAAGAAAACCAAGAATACTACAGTTCTGTCATGTAAAACTGAAGTGGAACCAAACAAGTATGTGTCTCCCAGAGGACAAAGGTGCCCTATTCACAACACACACCACAGTCTTAGCTCGTGATTGTAAAACAGTAGAGATTTGTGAAAGTGACACTCATCATACTGCGCTCCATGACTACTACAGATCCAAACACTCAGATCAAGGCGGGGAGAAAATCAACCAGGACAAGACAGATGTGCAGAATAAGTGTACCGTGATATGTGGAATGAACTTTAAGGGCAAATCGTGCTCTAAAATTATTCTGGTCAACGTTTATCCCACTGATCGTCCATCAGAGAAAAAGACTATCTATGCCATAGTTGATGACCAAAGCAGTCGTACACTCGCTCGTTCACAGTTTTTCAATATGTTTGATATGAACACTGACTCTGTGACTTACACATTATCATCATGCAACGGTTCTGTGACACTCACCGGCAGATGTGCATCAAACTTTACGTTAGAACCAGTATTAGAAGGAAACCGAATTCATCTACAGTCTGTGATAGAATGTGATGACATACCCAACTGCAGAGAGGAGATTCCTACACCAGATGTGGCACGTGCATACCCTCATCTAGCAGACTTAGCCACTCATATACCAGAATTGAATGATGATGCAGACATTTTGTTACTCATTGGAAGAGATCATCCAGATGCTCATCATGTCTTAACACAGCGAACTGGACCTCATGGAGCTCCGTTTGCACAAAAACTATCGTTAGGATGGACAGTTATAGGAGAATGTTGTCTTGATAAGGTACATGTACCTACGAACATTGTGACCAACAAAACGCACATTCTACCATCAGGAAGAAGCTCGACATTTCCACCTTGTCCTTCTTACATACATGTGTCTAAAGTTGCAGACAACCCATTCTGTAGTGAGGAAATAATGACTACTGATATTTTTGTGAAAACGCCCCAGGACAATGAACCAGGCCTGTCAGTGAATGATCGAGAATTCCTAAAAATTATGGACAATGAATGTTACAGAGATGAGAATGGAAACTGGACTGCTCCGCTTCCATTTAAGACCAGTAGAGAGAAACTTCCGAATAATCGTGAACAAGCCATGAAAAGAACTCTGTCATTTCTAGCTTCTTGTAAAAGGAACAAGTTGAAAATGGAACACGCAATCTCGTTTATGAACAAAGTGTTTTCTAAAGGACATGCAGAAAAAGCACCAGAGCTTAAGGACGGGGAAGAGTGTTGGTTCCTACCGATCTTCGGCGTCTACCACGCAAAAAAGCAAAACCAAATACGTATGGTTTTCGATTCATCTGCAGTATTTCAGGGACACTCCCTGAATTCAGCTCTTTTAAGTGGACCCGACCTTACCAATAGTCTACATGGGATTCTACTAAGATTTAGAAAAGAGAAAGTAGCTGTGACAGGTGATATTGAACAAATGTTTCACTCATTCAAAATTCGAGAGGATCACAGAAACTTTGTACGATTTATTTGGTTCACAGACAACGACCCAGCTCTACCTTTAATGGAATACCGTATGTGTGTTAACCTATTTGGAAACTCACCTTCTCCGGCAGTAGCAACATATTGTTTGAGACAGTGTGTTAAGATCAAGGAGTGTGACCCAAGAGTTCGTGAATTCGTTAACAGAAACTTCTATGTAGATGACGGTCTCGCATCTTACCAAACAAAAAATGAAGCATTAGAAATCTTACAGAAAACACAGACTACACACAAAGAAGAAGGGAACTTGAGGTTTCATAAGTTTGCATCAAACAGCTCGTATATCATGGATGTACTACCTCCAGGCGACAGGGCTAAAGATTTATCTGACGTGAATTTACACTTGAATGCAGCACCATTACAACGGAGTCTGGGACTCATGTGGAATGTAATGTCCGACGCATTCACCTATCAGTTTGTACCCAGGGTCAGGGACCCTCCGCTAACAAAGAGAGGAATTCTTTCATGTCTGAACAGTCTGTACGATCCACTTGGATTTATATCCCCTCTCGGCTATGTTAAGGAAGGTCAGAGTTCACATTCCTTGTACATCCTATTGGAAGTTTAACTGTGACGTCATTGAAATTTAACAAGCCACGAAAATTAATTAACGACATGATCATGCGTAAATAACCACTTGAATTTATTTATTCTTATCGATTGATCATGAAATCTTGTAAAATTGCAATACTTGATAACGATACAGTCGAGTAATAGAAGAAAGCCTTTTGTCAAATATGACGTCATCAGCCCTGACATGACGCAGCACAAGTGATCCAGAGGAGTAGATTCACTGGTTTAATTATTACAAGAATGCTTAAATAAATATGATACCACTGCTAATTTTTAGACCTAATCATTAAAACTAAAAGAAAATAATTTATTAGATACAATGTGTATAGAATATGAATTTATCTAGTAGCATTGAAGCTGCACAGGGATAAGGAATATAGAGAATATCGCTAAAACGATGAGCGTATTCATGATTTACATCAAAAGTGCAAGGGCATAGACTATTTGTTCTGAGCTGAAATTTGGAATATTTATTGCTCATATAGTGTATATTTTGAAAAGTGCTGGGAGCTAATCCTGGTCTGCATAACATTAATTTTATTTATAACAGAATTTAAGCGAAGTGGAAATTTTTAGCTATTATTAGCATTTTCGGCAAAATTTTAAGTACTTCGCAAACAGCACTGACTAGCTCCCAGCACTTTTTGGGTAGAGGATATAAACCTCTTTTAATGTGTATCAATTTTTTTCTTGAAAAACAAGCGAATGCCCTTGCACTATCCCATTTCCTACATTCAGCTTAACAATTCTATTTATATACAAGTCACGTGACAAACAGCTGATACGTGCGATATAACTGGTAATAACTACGGCCCAGTCCTATCCATTATTGATAGCTATATTACATTTTCTACAAGTATGCAGTTGCTTTGTTAAATTTTTTAAAAAGAAGCAATACATATTAAAACGGTGCAAAGGTTACACTTTCCATATTGGTCCTTAACATTGCTGAGCTGTGATTCTGCAAGGCAGATTCTTATTTCGTGAAGTGATAAACTTACCTGTTGGATGGGACGACATGGTTCCAATGAATATCGCTAATGGATGGAAAACTTGGTGCAACACCTTACACCATCTGTCAAGTTTACAGATTTCTAGAACTATCGTGCCAATTTCCCTGGGAGAAGACAATCGAAAGGAGATACACTTCTTCTCAGATGCTTCCGAAAAAGCCATTTGTGCAGTGGCTTACTTACGTGTGATACCAAATGACAATGCACGCATACAGGTTGGATTTTTGATGGGGAAGTCGAAACTTTCACCCCAACATGGTCACACTATTCCCAGACTTGAACTGTGTGCAGCAGTTTTGTGTACAGAACTCGCAGCATTTGTGTTAAAACACATAGACACTACTATCCATGAAGTGAAGTTCTATACAGATAGTCGCATAGTCCTTGGATACATCTACAACCAAACCAAACGTTTTCATACTTACGTCGCTAACCGAGTACAGCGTATCCGTCAGCACTCAGCTCCAGAGCAGTGGAACTATATTTCCACTGAGGAAAATCCCGCGGATATCGGGAGCAGAGGAATTCTAGCGAATGAACTACCTCACAGCATTTGGCTTCAAGGACCTGTTTGTTTACAACAACAGAGTCATCTATTAGAAAAGGAGGATTTTCCACTTATTGACCCAGAAAAAGACAGCGAAATTAGAAACGCTAACATTGTTGTACAGAAAACGTGTTTCAACGCTCATGAAGTTTACACCAGGATAGATAGATTTTCCTCATGGACATCCTTAGTCAGAGCAATTACTGTTCTCCGAAAAGTTGTGACAAAGAAACTTGGTTTACCATTGTTGGATCCTGTACACATGAACCGTGCAACAGAACTGTTCTTAGTGAAACTCTGTCAAAATGAAACATTCTCTGCGGAAATCACAAACTTGGCCAACGACAAACCAGTATCTAAAGATAGCTCGTTACGCTACCTGGATCCTTACCTTCATGATGGAATCATACGACTAGGAGGGAGAATTCGTACTGGAGACGCCCTGTGTGATGAACATGGCCCAATCATTATTCACGGAAGAACTTACCTAGCTCGTCTCCTTGTTCTACATTGTCATGAAGTTGTGAAGCACCAGGGGAGACACTTAACTGAGGGAGCCGTTCGCTCGTCTGGATATTGGGTGATTGGTGGAAAGAGATTGATATCGTCAGTCATACATTCGTGTGTTACCTGCAGAAAACTCCGAGGTAAACTGGAACATCAGAAGATGGGAAATCTTCCGGAATGCCGTACAAAACCTTCACCTCCATTTACCTATGTGGGCGTGGACACATTCGGACCTTGGGAGATTGTTACGCGCAAGACCAGAGGAGGTTCAGCTAATAGCAAACGCTGGGCTATCTTATTCACCTGCCTGACAAGTCGAGCCGTACATATAGAGCTAGAGGAAGATATGTCATCACCTACGTTTATCAACGCCCTCAGACGTTTCATAGCCATAAGAGGAAAAGTTACAGAATTTCGCTCGGATAGAGGTACAAACTTCGTCGGCAGTACAGACGCACTAGGAATCACCGCAGTAAACGTAGAAAGTTCGCAAGTGAAGAAGTTTCTTAAAGACAGCGGATGTTCTTGGATCTTCAACCCTCCCAACTCTTCCCACATGGGAGGGGTGTGGGAGAGGATGATTGGCATCGCTCGACGAATCTTGGATTCTATGCTTCTAAAGGAAACAAAGAAAAACCTTACACATGATGTATTAAATACCCTCATGGCGGAAGTTACTGCAATTATAAACAGTAGACCAATAGTACCTGTATCAACGGATCCATCTCAACCCTCTGTACTATCTCCATATACCTTGTTAACACAAAAGACAGAACTTGATGTTGGACCATTTGAGCCATTTGATACGAAGGATATGTACAAGTCCCATTGGAAATACATACAAATCTTAGCCGACCAGTTCTGGAGGAAGTGGCGCTCACAGTACCTCCAGTTGTTACAGTCAAGACGTAAGTGGGTGGACCCTCGTAACAATCTTACCGAAGGCGATGTCGTACTCTTGAAGGATCAAGACTCCGTCAGGAATGAATGGCCGATGGGTATTGTTGTCCGTGTCTTTCCGGGTGAAGATGGAAAAGTACGTAAAATTGAACTTCGTGTAGTGAGAAATGATCGTGTCATCAACTACGTTAGACCCGTTACAGAAGTGGTTTTGCTGTTTTCACCATAGAGACTGTTTGCGATGTTGGACATCACAGGCGGGGAGTGTGCCGTTACACGGCATATATGTATATATGTTCGTAGACTGTTTTGTGTTATTCCGTTTTTGTCCGTGTGAAATGTTTTAGTCTACCGTTTACATCCGAATACTACCTGTGTTACTATTCAGTGTTTCTCGTGCATTCAAGATCGCAACTGGCGCCTCGGCCGCACCACTGTTTTTCTATCATGTTTGAGACTTTAGAGCCACAATAGAGTGAGTTAACAATGCTAAATCAATTTAATGTACATTCTTTTTATATAAATTCAGTTAGGAAATATTTCTTTATGTAAATTTAACTTTAAACTTGCAAAACTCAGTGTCAATGTCAGTGATGTGTATTCAGTCTTGTTTTGTTCTTTTTGTTTGTAGTCTTTATCGTAAGATCATCTATATGTCAACTGAATAAAATCTTAAACGATGATTGAGGCGTTATAAACACCCTTATGTTTTTCTTTATCAAGAATACTTTAAAATTAGATCTATACAATACTTGCCATCTGTAAGATGAAACTTGAGAACCCGCCTCTTCTTCATGGCAGATCTATTAATTTTCTCATGGTAGGCTGAGTAGCTTGAGCCTATGAAGTATGCAAAAAAATTGAATATTGTATACGAATACTTTTGAAAATAATGACTCCCGAGCAAGTCAAGCATTAAATAATGTAAATGTTTGTTCAAGTAACATTTCATGATACTTATTATTTGATTTTTAAAAAAATAATGTGCTTGTACCAAAGAACTTTGGGATCATAAATCTGGGTATTCATGTTTTGTCGTCTTCCTCGCCCCGTTTTGATGTTTTTCCATCAACAATCTGCATGCTGAATTTACTCAACCTGTATTTTAACAAAATGGACACAGTTTAAAATACAAAATGTTATAAATAAAGCAAACTTCATTTGTCAATTTCGGAGTTGAAACTCTCAGCCAAGGCATAGTTACACCTGTAACTAAGTTTTATGACAACTGATTGTGTGAAGTAATTCTCAGTAATTAGCAAAAACCCAGTTTCAGTTTCATATTCCCGGTCCGGCTCGGTTTTTTACTACTTATTTAAGTCCCACTCCAGAATTGTTTTTCTATGTTAGAATTAACTGAAAGAAACACATAAACATTTAATCCCAAAATTATCAAAATTCTAATATAAGATTCTGGCAGTAAAAACTTAGACAGCGTAGTTTTGCAACAGGCACAATGTACTGATCTATGCTGAAAGTAAAAACGGCTGGAAATCGTAAAAAACCTTCAATGCATGCCAGTCCGGGAGTTCGAGCGGCTGACAAGGCAAGAATCTCCTTAAATCAAGATGAAGTTTCAAAAAAATTATCACTGGTTGCAAACTTCATTGAAATATATATGCAGACCCGTTCAACTTGATTTCAAATGATTGGCTATTCAACCGAATCATGGACCCTTCACTTTAGGTCTATGACCGAATACACAGTTTAGCCTTTCAAGATAGAATTTTAAAACAATATTTAAGATTTTCAAATACCTTTCTACAAATATTACTTAACACTGCATTGAATATTGATATATTAATAGTATGGAAAAAAAAACGAAATTATAAATAATTGCATTTTTAAGGAAGATAACTCTAAAAAAAAATCAATAAACCTTATAGTCTTTTTCAAAAATTTGTGCAGCAGTGATCCAACTGTGTATTGTCTGAAAATGAAATAAATACTTATATTAAGGAATAAATATTCTTATGTTACATATTTATAATGAAATATATGGCCCTAGTAATCAGTAATGCAGGCATACTAAAATTCATTAGCACAAAGTCTCGCAATGTTTACAAAGTCAAGTCAAATGAAAAATGATATTTAACATATGCCTTCTTCTTTATTCCTTTTTGATTGAATCAAATTGAAATATTGTTTTCAAAATATTAATAATTCATGACGAAGAAATAAAATATAACTTGACCCTGTAAACAAAATGCACATCTTATATAGGTTTGGGGATTTAAAAAATTTTCATTGTGTGATTTACTTACATGCAAACACACTAAACCACTTTAAAATGAGTTTAGTATAAACTTCATATCAAAATGCTAAATACTGAAGTAATCAAAAATTACTTTCCATTCTCATAAGCAAGGATTTCCCCATTCCATTCAATATTCTCGTATTCGTTGTTTGTCCAGACATATATGATATGTTTTCTAACTAGAGAAGATGGAATCACTAAGTCTTCCTGTTGGGTACTTTCCCTTTTCAATTTTATGATACTCTTCAAGTTTTCAATTAATATTTCTATACTAAAGACTTTTCCTTTCTCTGAAACTTTAATTAAACATTTATGTTCTGTTTTAAGGGGAAATATTGTTTTATTGATTTAATTGCTTTTTTACTGCTGCGATTTTTTCCTTCTTCTTATTTATCTTTTCTAATGTAATGTCAACTTTACTTTCACAGTCCCACAATCCATCATTGCCTTAACACTGTCTTGTCGTTATTTTATAATTTTCAAGTGATTTTGAAACAATATATTTTTTTCCAACTTATTCTTTGACAAAACTTCTCTTCCTTCCTTCTTAACGTTATTTAAAAATTCTTTCTTTTTTTTCCTTCAACCATTCACTTGTCTTATTGTCACAGATTTGTATAGAAAGAAAAATCACATGGAACAGACTTAATAATTAACGAATATTTTATAGAATTTAAAGAAATATTAATGCCTTATCTATGTAAATTGTTTAGCAGAATATTATTGTCTGTTTTTTTCCCACGAATGTGGTCAGAGAGCATAATAGTTCCTATATTTAAAAAGGGAGACATGTCAGACCCAAATAACTACAGAGGCATTAGCTGAATCAGTTGTTTTTTGAAAATTATTCACGTCAATTCTAAATCAGAGTTTACTCGCATGGTCAAATGATAATAACATTATTACAGATGCTCAGTTTGGGTTTCAACCAAATAGGGGAACTACAGATGCCATATTTTGTCTCTCTTCTATAATTGGTATCACATTACGTAAGAAAAAACGCTTGTATTGTTGTTTTATTGATTTTAAAAAAGGGTTTGATTCAGTAGATAGAACTAAACCTTTTTGCACTCATGTACGCTGATGATATGGTAATTTTTGCAGAAAGTGTAGATGAATTACAGTCTATGTTAAATTCATTGTATAATTATACTACAAAATGGGACCTTACAATCAATATAGAAAAGACTAAAATTGTTATATTTAGAAATGGGGGGAAAATTTGTGATAATGAAATATGGAATTTGAACGGAGAAACTATTGAGATTGTTGACAAAGAACTATATAGGGTTTCTATTATAGTTTGGCCCCCGTTTTTGTTACAATTTAAACGCCAATAAACCTCAATGAAATTGATATTTTTTGAAAGATAAGAATTTATACTTTTCTTTTATGGTTAAATTGATATGTTGATTTAAGTAATATGCAGAGAAATAAAGGTTTAAAGTGACTAAGTTTACAAGAAAACGCCTAAAAGTGACATTTTTAGCATCGTTATCGGCGATTTTAGGTATGTGCGACGCCTTGAACAAGAAAGATATTTACACACGTAAAAGATATATTCAAAGAAAGTCTTCATTCAAAAAATTAATTTTGTTCGTAAAGTCGCACACACTTAAAAAATTTAAAAACCTTGAGAAAAATAGCACTTTCTGACTCGCGTGACGTCACAAGCATGTACGGAGAATGACGACGGCGTTGTTGACATGTGTTGAATTTTTTTGATTTCGAAGGCAACATCATCTATCGATTGCTTCATGTATATTTTCCAACATAAAGTTCTAGACATATTTATTTTTGAAACATATTTGTGATTAAAGAATATATTTTATCGGTATCGACATTGATCTGTTGATGTGTGAATGTACGGGTGTGGATCAAAAGGAACACGATGATCGAGATTGACCTTCGAATCGCTTGAACTCCGTCTACTGTACATTAAATCAGTTCACAGAAGAAATATATACACAGTATACATTTTACAAAATTATTTGATCATGTTAAAATACGTTCATTGTGTGTGCATATTTCCATATGTTATTTACAGTACTGTACTTTATACGTTGTCATTTCTTCCCGTTTCGTTCATTGTTTACCTGTTTACAAGGCAACAAATGTACGGCCAACCAGACGTGTAAAAAATTCAACGTTATTCTAAGAAGTTCGGGGCATTAGTAATTTCAATAAAACCAACTAACATATTTTTTTTCTAAAAATGTTGAGTACAAATAGACAACAAAAATAATATTAATATTTCTATGATAATAAAAATAATAAATAGGCCTAAATAAAAATAAATAAATATAATAGTAAGAAAGTTTTGAATCAACATTTTATTTATATAGTCACGTTGCTACAAAACAATAAGAATACATCACATCTTTAATTATAATAATTCATTAATTTAATTTCTGAATTTTTAGGGTTAATTTGTTATTATAACAATTATCATAGTGTGAAATTAGGCTTATACTTAATTAGTTGTATGACGAAGGACCCGTTATACATGTACATATAAATAAGGTCATATACCCTTTCTCTAAATTTTTTTTGCTGATTACTGCAGTAGCACTCAACATGATATTGATTTTTTTTTAAAATATTATACTATTTAATTTCTTTTTAATTTAATTAACTAGTTAAAACATTGTGATTTCTTTTCCGGACTCTACAGATAGGAAGTTTGAAAATACATTTTTTTTAGTGTTGAGAAAGTGGCGTGTGTCATTGCTACCTTCGTAGTTTTTAATACAGTCAAGGTTGTTACCCGTGTAGTTGTATATATTTCTTGTCGGAAAAATCTCAAAAAGTACACTGTACCAGTTGAAATTAATTTCTTATCGAAGAGGCAAAAGACTAGAAAGTGATTGATTACTTGGCATATTTTACTGATTGCACCCTTCCCCCTCTATGATATCAAAACAAGATTCCAGTATTTCACCAGGTCTATTGGTACACCCATGGCGCAGTGG